TACTGCTTTATTTGTTTGTTTGTTTGTTGTTTAACGCCGCACTCAGCAATATTCCAGCTATATGACGGCGATCTGTAAATAATCGAGTCTGGACCAGACATGCTTTAAGTCAGTGGTTGTTGAAATCTATAATCACACCATGTGCGCCATATGTCATGTGGGCTTGAGACATCGTGTGGGGATTAAAATAATGACTAAAGTTTAAATGTTTCAAATTCTCGATGTCGGAATGTAAACTAAGTTAACAATCAATTTGAAACAACATCTTCTTGAACATGCTGCATCTCACGGTCTGGTACTACCGTTGAAAGTACTAGTTAAAAATTTAGGAAATATTTCTTTTTAAATGCCTACGTGTGTCCATAAGAATTGATTACAATGTTATTATAACTTATTGTATTGTCAGAGATTTATTAATCACACTAGGACATTGTGCAGCTTTAATTAACAGACCAAAGTCCAGGCATTTCATATTGGAGCGAATCTGAAAGGCTACACAGACAGAGTGTTATTCACCGAGGGGCGACTTCCATGCGCAATGAAACCATAGCTATATACATATGTAGCTCTCGCACCACTAATGCGTTCCCAATTTACATACCTTTCTTTAATGTCTACGATATGTTAAAAGTATCGGAGCATGATCCACATAGTACAATATATACAAAGGCGTAATACCAGCCTGGCCTAAACAACCCAGGTCGCTTCGTCCCGCGGTGCACGGATTCCAAACTGGAGGGTCTGTAATAGCTAAATATAGATCTGTTCTAGTTTCGGGTTAGGCCCAGTAGATCAGTAGGTCACCTGCGATCTCTTGCCAAGGTCGTGGCAAGTTGCCCACAAACTTTAATCATTCTTGACCTAAATTGAACCTGGCTGTATGCTCCATACACCGTAGAAAAGCATGGCGTTGAACTGGTTGTTGGTTCGAAGAGTAGTTCTGCAAGATTTGACATGGGACGCAATCGACCTGATCTATCTGAGGCGTAGATCGTGGCATGCTTTCGTGTGTACAGTTCCATTGCGACGCTTCAAGGTTAAACACGCGATACATTTCACTGGGTAGCATGTCCATATAGTGTTAAACATAGATCGGCCTGCACCATTGCAGTTTATCTACAAGATGCTCAACCATCAATGTGGTAGGCATTCAACATCAAGATAGATTCAGCAGGGGCTGTTATCGTGTTTATCAGCTTACATAGAGATCAATCAGAGAAACGCATGTGCACAACGTGAGAACGAAATGTCTCCAACATGTAAACTTCGATCCCACATATTCTGGTCAATATTGCGCGTTGCTATGTATTTTCTAGTCGCAGTTCACGGTGATGTCTCGCTTTTCTTATCAGCAAGCTCATTTTATGTTCATAGTATGAAATAATATTTTGACTTTCATAATTATGCAATGTCAAAAGTTATATTTGAAAGGCAATAATACATTATACATTCGAATTCATATCACAATATATTACCCCGATCAGACGCCAAGTCTTCTTGTTAAAGTACATTTGTATATGGTGAGTGTGGTTGCTAAGACAGATTTTCAAAGAGGGACGCGTGTCTCTCATACAAACGGAGATATTTATATCCTCAAGGTGCGTAGGTTATGAGGTAAGGTTACATTACTTTCAAATCGCATACAAAAGTTATAGCAATATATTCTTGAAGTTGTGTGTCAATCCAGTGTGTGTGTGCTGGGGGAAGGGTAAAGGAGTTAAGCTGCCTGTGAAATACTTCTTGAGATTCCAATTTGCTTTTTAGAAACACGTTTGCATTGTTTACTGTGCTAGCTGTTATTAATAACGTGGTAACGTACGAATTGTGAAACCAAGTGTTAGTTCGTGGCGTGAAGACGTATTGAGGTAGATTTTATAGTGTTGTATCATGCCGTGTGAAGTTGGTTGTTTCATTTCACTCTTGTCAGTTTTAAAAGATGTGGGGAAATGTGCCCTACGGTTCATAAAGCATGAGATAAAACGCCTATCATCTTGCAAAAACATGTAAGGAGATGCTCCCATGATGTGTAGAGATAAAAACATATCATATATTGACAGATGTTACAGTGGTGTTTGACACGAAAAACATGTCAATGAATAAACTAATACAATATTTATATTCTAATAGCATGAGAATTACACCTTATGTTAACGGATAGATTAAGAGTTAGTGGTCTGATTAATATTTTTTTACAAATCGAATGGAAGTACATTTCCTTTGAACAATGAGAACTCGACTCTCGACAATTTCAGTTTGTTATACACCAGCCTTGAATCAGACAGTCACGCACTTTTCTTCACACAGTAATTAATGTTCAACAACTCGGTTAGAATTTCGTAATATGCCCGGTGCTATTAGGTGGGTCTCGGCATTTACCGCGAAATCACGTGTAGGAAACGACCTTCCCCTTCGAATTGCTCATTAACGGACGCTAGATCTGGGGCAGACTGATCTTGATTGTGGATCGATATCTCTACGAACTGACCTAGTTTCTGCTGGGATAGTGGTACTGATGTCTTGTTAATATCGATTTGTGCTGCCGGCGATTTATCTAACGCTGATAAGGTAGAAGACCAGTCTAATGCTCTCAAAAAATGAGGTTACATCGTACAGAAAGATGGCTCGTCTTGGAAAATCATTTGAGAAATGAAAGATATGCCAGGCTTCATGTTGTGGTCGCGCAGAGTGGAACAGGCATATGCTGATTTCTTGGAATCGGGTTATATAACCAATAAAGATTGAATGAGTGAGTGGGTTGGGTTTTACCTTGCTTTTAGCAATATTCAACAAAATCGTGAAGGGGGACACCAGAAATTTGCTTCACACATTGTACCCATGTACCCCGTGATTCGAGACCGTAGTGAGATGTGTGATGTATAAATACTATAGCCAAGCTGTATTGATTAGTTTGCACTCGCGTACCTCTGGTTTGTTTCCTGATATGGTTGAGGTTTATGAATAATTCGTATCAGCCTGATGTCAATACGACAGTTGTCTGTGGATCACTACATCAATTAAAAACCTGGTATATATATGGAAAACATGAACATAGTGTACGCTTCTATGTGGCTAGTTAAACATTTCCAATACAGTATGAAACTGTTTTAACTAGTTAAAGTGTTTCCGAACCATTGTTTCTTATTTGAATACGTTTGTACAAATGACAAGCCTCACAGGGCATATTGGCATAGTCTACATCACGCTAACAAATGAACGTATTTCGTGTATAACGATATGGCGAGGTTGATGAGTTATGCTATGACGTCTCAAGTACACAAAACCAATGAGGGTTAGTTAAAAGGTAGCCATTTTGCGATATCTCTGCTTTAAGTTGACATATAGCATCCCTCGTTTTTATGCACCATCAAATGAAAGCATCTTGTATATGAGGATAGAGGAGAGCGCTTGAGCTGCTTGTCGTATATGCGTATTTTGCCTCGCCTACAGTTTCTGAATAATGCATAGCTTCAATGTTGTATGTCAAGGCCATCGCGCAGCTATACGACAGAAACCCGATAAGCTGCGGTCGAGCTAATGGTTTAACCATACACATACAGTCCAACCCACTGCAGCTGACCTAGTGATCTCTCATCAAAGTCTTCTTGCTTTCACCAGGGGATTCTGGCTTGACCCGAGAATTCGCCGCAGGTCATTGACTCAACTAAGAGAATCGGGTTAAAATATTCCGATGATAATGCCAGTTTCTACATGGTATGCTTATGAAGAAATGTACTGTTCACTGTACAAATTCGAAACATTTAGTCTTAATTATAAACCATAACACATGATGCTTCTTGATTCGTTCTATACGGCATTTGCATAATATAACATTCATATACGTTTACAAAATTAATGTCTGATGCTTGAAATTTAAGGCATTTTTCTTGAGGCCAATAATCATTTCATCCTTGGATAGGTTTTAGATGCTACAGTCTCATTACGTGGCTTGTTGCGCAGAGATTGCAGTGGCAAGATGCAAGATGATACACTATCTATGTATATAAATCAACGAAGACCCTTTCGAGAAAGCTCTCAGGGATGAGTTTATTCATTAATGAAACACTCAAATGAATAATCACAATGTGTTGCAGCCTTGGTCTTTTCAGAATCTAGGTTGTTTGGATGAGGTGAAGGATATCTCGCAGATAATCATTTGATATCAGAGCAGATTATTTTTTCAGATCAGCTGTTGTTACGTTCAGCTTCATGTCATCGTTATGTTTTTGTTCTCAAATCGACTGAACATATGTTGAACATCATTAAGTCACGTATGCTACTAAACATGGATGTTTATTCGATTTCATTGTAACAACGTGAAAGAAAAAACCCATTACATTGTTGATCTATGTTCTAAATTTTGTTTAAAAAGGAAACAGTTGCCGAAATACATGAAAATGTCGCATATTGTTCTAGGTTTGCAGAATGTACATAACATAAAACATATTGTGTTGCATTGTACGCATGTAACTGCATTATTCATTTACGATTCTTCGTCAACGCGCTGCTGACTGTTTCCTTAATGTTTTGTGCAAGATTTAATGACGGGAGCCAGTTTTATTCAAAACTTATTTCTTTAAAGTATTTAATATTGTTTGTGATATCATTCTAAAGCAAAGAAAGAACTTTATGAATAAACGCATTACACTGTGCCAAACATATTGGTTATTCTACCGTTTTACATTTCCTGGAATGGTTTTAAGGTTTAAAACATCCCACACCATCCCCTGATCAGAACAAAGATTTATAAATGACGAAGTCGTTTATGGAGAATAATCTCCGATTCATTAGTAATGTCCCCGGGGTAGAGAAATACTGGATTGTTCATATGCCAAACATGTATAACTATAGATCCCGATATAACGAACTTTGGATATACCGAACATATTCTAGTCCTTTCAACTGCGACATATCAAACTTCACTGCATTTAATCTACATTTACAGTGTTGAAAATTTTGAAATCCCAAGCAGTTCTTAACAAAGTATACTTGTTTTTTTGCAGATTTCCTTGCGGAACTGTATGACAGTTATTATGCCTACTCCGCGTGCCTGATGCCCCCCAATATGTGCGTTGAGGCCTACACCACCACAATGTCTGAGGGTAAGCACAATATGATGCCTTATGACGACTCCCTGCCGTATGGATCTTCATTTCACAGGCAACTCGTCATGTCGTCGCCTTTACCCAGAGAACACCCTTCCAGAAGCCCAAGCGTGTCTTCAGATGGAGGAAAGGTGAGTTGTCTCCCTTTATACTTGTTATTCCGGAGTTATCCCTCTTTGGTTGCATTGGAGTACACTTTACAGTATAGTAAGGATTATATTCATCAAGCTGGATGGGTGATAGTCCTTGTTTCTCATCATGACAGTCGTTAAGTGAGACATCAAAGCTAATCTATGTGAAATGTCGTAAACTTGTCATGTTTAAGTGCGTATTGTATTATGACTTCATGTGTCAACGATGTCAACGGTTGAATGCTTTACAGCTTTAAAATGGCACATTAAGAAGTGAGGTGTTATGTATCTCACGTCAAAGTTAATCCACTTGTGATAATTTGTCACGATCGCACATCAGTAAACTATACTCTCACAATGCCTTATAGATTCTGTTGGATAATACAGTTGAATTCAAGTGGTTCATATAAGAACAAAACAAGAGCTGTGATGGAAATGTTATAGGTTGGCTGAAATGTTCGGTGTACCAGCAAGGAGACGCAATGAAAATACAATGACAACTTTGTATTGTGTTTAATTTTCAGGTCAGGCGGAAGTTGTTTTTGATTTTTAATGTGGAAAGGATATGATACAAACAAATTTTCTTTATTTCCCTGTAGGTGAAGCCTCAGTACACAGCTGAGCTGGATGTCCTCTGTCGGATTTGTGGAGACCGAGCCTCAGGCTTTCATTACGGCGTCCATTCATGTGAAGGATGCAAGGTACGCATTTTCCAATGACGCAATACATTGACGTCATCGAGCAAAGTTTTGCTAAAGTATTTTGTTACCATCTTGAATATACTAGATTATTTTAATATAAAAATAAAATAAAATAAAAATGTGTATTTCCAAAACGTGTGTTGGTCACTCACCACATAATTTATTTAATAAATAACAATGCGATACACAATTCCAGGAACTATTGTTTAGCTATATTTGATGGGAGAAAGCATCATCAGATATTACTTATTTCTCTTGCAGGGATTCTTCCGGCGAACCTTAAAAAAGCAACTGACATATCGACCTTGCCAGATGGGATCGCAATGCAAAATAGATCAAAACTCACGAAACAAGTGCCAGTATTGCCGCTACCAACGATGTCTCAACGCAGGCATGTCACAAGATGGTATGCATATCTGTTCATCACCATCAGCTACTTGTTCGTCATTTCAAATTTTTATGTGTAACACATTTCGCCAACATGCATATATACACACAACACTTCACTCACACATACTTACCCTCGCTTTACACACACACCTGTCACACAATACGCAATACACAATGCACAAACACAAAATAACGTGCATGATACAATTACGCACAAATTATGGCCAGGAAAGGATTAAACACTTGAAAACGGTAATTACGTTTATGATAATAGGACATTGAGCATTCATTAATACACATCTAATTGTTATATGTCCATGCACAGATGCAAAACTACCGAAGCGCATTAATATTTACTTATGGTCGAACATTTTAAGGAATTTGAGGGATCGTGAATAAACATGAACAAACGTTTAATTGACCAAAATCAATGGCATTTGTCCGCACCGAAACATTGTCTGAAGTAAAACAATGTATCCAACTCCTTCAGCATTGAGCAGAATATACACGATGCTTTTGTAAAACCCTATAAAAACTACAAATTCCTTTTCTCTTTTCTGTAAATTTTTGAATGATATACAGAGTAAGAAATTGTTCTTAATGCCTCAGACACACAAGCATTTCAAAAACAAAACGAGGACATATATTCTTGAAATGAAATGTCAGAAACGGCGGATCAGTCGCACTAATTCCTTTTCCCTTCCTTCCTAGCTGTTCGGTTTGGTCGCATGCCGAAGGCAGAGCGAGAGAAGCTAGTTGCTGACAAGGAGGTTCTATGTAATACCGACGGCAAAAGAATAGTGGAGCTGCGATCTCTGTCTGACCTCATCACAGCTGCTTTCAGAGAGATTTTTAGTGACACTATATTTTTCCAAAGGGAACACGGCCAACCATCTACCTCCTTACATCTGGATGCTCATGTATGTTATAGTTTACAAGTGGTATTTAGTTTCATTTCAAACATCGAATAAATTTTCCTCACAAGAATTAGTGTTTTTGTCAGTGTGCTACCGATGTTTGTAGACAGTACCAATAAAAAGTCGCAGACTTTGCTTGTTGTTTTAAGGGGTAGAGAAATAAAATAGTATCGACATTTAGTATTTTAGTTCCATTCCATAATATTTGAATAATCTTAAAAATTATTTATATCAAAAAATTTTATGTTGACAAATTATAAAACAATGATGTTGGATATATGATGAAATGATTTTGATATTTCCATGGTAATAGCATTAATGTCATATTCACTACAATGAAAACTATAAGTTTCTAAAGGCCTGGCCTCTGACAGTGAAGGTCCGTCGTGAAATGGATATGACCTCTCAAGAACTACTACATGTCACATAAAATGGAATCATGTCCACGTCACCGAAACGTGTTATATTCTATTCCAGATGATGGACACAGAAGATCAGCAAACTATAATGGACGGCATGAGTTCCGAGGAGTTCCACGACAGACAGATTTTCGGCTTGTACCAGGAACTAATCCTACCCGTGATGGAGGCCAGTGTCAAGTTCGCCAAGAAGCTGCCTGGGTTCACCAACATCCCCATGCATGATCAGATCAACCTCATGAAGCGGAATGGATTCATGGTTGTCCAAGTCGCGGTAGGTTTGGGATTTGAGTTTTATGTGAGACAACTGAGGCTCCTTGCTGCGTCTTTTCGTTTCGTTTCGAAATATTTGATGTGTTAATACAAGATAGTTTCAATTGTTTTATTTACATGTAAGGGCGCCGTATTACTTCCGAAACAGTCAGTTAACAAAGTTTGACATAGATTAATGTAACTATGCGTGTCTTATGTCATTATACTTAATCGAGAAACAAATGCAGTATAAGGGAGAACTGTCATTACTATTGATTTTAAGCATGTTTAAATGCCTAAAAGACGAATGGACCTAACACAAAATGAGATGTTTCGTGTTCTTGTATCAATTGTTTACTATTATTATCATTCGGACACTTTTCAAAATAATAACGATAGTTATTGTATCAATAATGTCACGTTTATTTATGATATTGAACACGTTCCTAAATAGAATTGTTTTGCTTTTTTGCAGTTGCATTCAATTATAGACAGAGAATTCATCAATTTTTTCACCCAGCGAGGGTCGTTGCGGTTGAGTCGGATGTCCCCTATGTTATGTGAGGAGATTAAGTCACTTTTAGAGAGGACGATTCAATGTGCAGACAGAATCAACTCCATGCAGCTTCAAACGGCGGAGCTTGCCCTTTTCTGTGCCATACTTTTAACTCAAGGTACGCATCGCTTATTTATGCTATGATTTGAATTCATCGAAGAAAAACATACCAAGTAAGAACATCGAGATAGCCAGAGTTTTGAATATGATTATATGGTTAGTATATGATTGGTGGTTAAATCTGGAAATAGGTCATTTCGAGATCTCCAGAGCTAGGAAACACTCGAGGCCCAGACCGAGTATTCGATATTCCCGCCGTTTGGCGATATGTGATATTATAGAAAACGTATCATATTGGTATGAATAGAAGATATATGTTCTTTAGCAACAAACATAATATGGGATATCCGGATAGGTGGGATTTTGCGACATGTGTACAGTTGAAGTTATACGCAATATTCATTGTTTTCATATCAACCTTTTCAGACATTCACATACTATTCTAGAAGCAAGGAATTAACTCTCTATCAACAGTACTAATTATTTATGATATTTGTTTGAAGCATTTTCATGTGAAAATATATATGTTGATTATAGTGATATATCGAATAAAATGAAACGTTCAGACACAACTCCACTTCCCGGACTATCCATGTAATGGACGTCTACTTATATCCAAAAGGCTGACGTAGATTCATTTATCCGAGTGATTACACAAGGAAGGCACCGTCCGGATTAATAAGGTTTTCTCTGATCCATCTTTTCACATTAACAAACGTAGACTGACAATGGCGAATGATGCTGATCAAATGACATTGTTTTCCAGAATCTCCGAATCTGTTGAACCCTTCCTTGGTTGAGGACTTGCAAGCTGATCTTATAGAAGCCCTACGGATAGCGCTGAAACACAACCACCCCAAACAGACCGTTCTACTGCCCAAACTGTTGGTTCTAATCTCAGATCTAATTCAAATTGTGGAAGAGTTTCGAGACCATCTCAAGAAAGGACTATACGACAAATCTGGTGATTATTCAAATGTTAAACCTTTACTTCGGGAAATATTCGATTTAAGCTGAGCTGGAACAATTAACAATTCTGAACAATAAATTGTCCAAGATCCCCGTAACAGACCTTTCTTTGTATCTGTATGCTCAGATATTATTAGTATTGGTGGTATTTAATTATGTGGCATTTTGTCAAAGTAGAAATATGACTTTGTACTCAGCACCTTACCAGACTTCCATAGAATGTTGATGTCATTGAAATGATTAATAAAGGGTATAAATCTTAAGTCACGCATGTGTGCGGCCAGCTATGCGGCATACTTTGGCTCCGGATTTATGATGCGAGGTATATTTCCATTTTATGACTTCAATCTCCTATTTGTTAACTGAAAATCGTATTCACCCTAAGCCTGCTGTTACACAGTGGGTTGCTGGATATATGGTGGAACTCGTTTGTCATCATACTTTGTACGTAACCTATCATTAACTTCGGTCTAACGGTCTTATGGGGGAAAGGTCTTTATTATCTTATTGGCATAATTGGCTGTACGCACATTCTTATGGAAACGAATGTCATATTTTCAGACGCCTATATTAGAACCACATACAAAATAAGTTTGATTAATTCAGCAGAAATGAGATAAGGTATAACGAGATGTGTGTAGCAGATGGTCAAAAACTGCTTTAGGTGTGTTAGAGGTAGAAACTGCAAGTAAGTTTGTAAATGCAGCAACGTTGACTGATCTGTTTAAATGGGCAGTCGCTACATATTTGTTCTTATTATCAAGCTGTGAACGTCAGTTTGAAACGTCACCAGATTAAGATATCATATTTTATCATTGTACAAGTTCAAAGCATAATATTGTCTCATTTCACAGAAGTCATCATAGCCCAAATTGTTATGAAATACAATATTTATTTTTTCACAATATATTTATGTATTTTAAATGTAATCAGAAGTATGTCCAATGTCAAAGAATTTTGACAGTGGATTGGAAAACGCGGTCAAGATCAACTATTGGTTCATACGTTCGATAGTGCCTCCACGAAAGAGGTAATACAGGATTTTACAAGATGGGACAATTCATTTCTTGTGTTTGAAAAAACGGGAAATGGCAGCTACGGAGGAAGAAATATAACCATTCAGAATCACAAATGAAAATAGATATATTTATTCTCTATTCACGATATATGTTCATGTTGGATGCTCAATTTGTATAAAAGCAATGTCACAGTCCTCGAAATCCGTGTAGCTGTATCGTGTAGTGTTCAGTCAGCACATATCACATATGTCATGTGTCCCAGAGTCTAACAGAGAGCAATATGGTAAAACGTCCTGTTGTTTCTACATGATGTTCGTCTATATACGAAATGTAGAATATTCTACTGAGCTGCATTACACATAAGATCGTTATTATGTTGTTGGACAGTGCAATTTGAAGCATAATTATATGTTGTTTGTGCCATATAAGCCTATGAAATTTGTATTAGTACAGCAATGCCCTGTTAGTCAGGAATCTTCCTTTTCCGGACAATTCTCTTAGTGGCATCTATGTGAATACAAAGTACATTTATCAGAAAGAATGAGTCGTTAATCCGGACATTTGTCAATCTGGACGATTTAATACAGAACGAAACCATCTGGATTAACGGGGATTCGCTATATGTTGAAACGATTCTGGAATTACATGTATGTACTGTTCAATACACTGAGAACAATGTACTTTGTGTGGGCTTCTAACGCATATCCATAGACTACTTCCCATGGTTATGAATCTATTTTCGTGTATAAGTTAATGTGATCGGAGTTCATGCGTATATCATCATATAATCCTATATACTTGGGTTATAAATACTCATTCAGACACAGCATTTACGGCCGTTCAAACATGACTGTGCAGTAATTGGATAATTGGTATTCAAAGCCCATGACGTTTATTTTGACAATTGCGATTTTTGTTATCAGTCAAACACCAATCTTGGGATATAAATTGGTTTAAAGTAAATGAATTATCATATGTCTGCAGATGTACAAAATATATTTTAGATGCCAGATACATTCTTTTCATTCTTGGTTATAATTAAGGAGAAGACAAAACGTGAAGAAGGAGACCTGTTACGAAAATACAAAAAAATGGTTGAGATTAATTACTTGGGTAAAAATTAACTTGTTCTCCATTTTATGCTGGTATTGTCTTTAAGTATAGACATGTATAGGACGTGCTCATTACCACTAAGACCAATGCATATGTGTCAGTTGAGAACCATGTATTGAATCAACGACCTGTCTCAACATACCTGCTGATGTTTGACGCCAGTGACACTTTTACTGCCATGTTGTTGTCATCCACCAAGAAATGACCCCCACCCTCCCCCCGGGTTGGTTTCCCGCGTGGGGAGGGGGACGGTTAAACACTACACTAATGTCGTTATATTAGTAACCATGGCATCCATTGCATCCATTTAGTCTTCGAGAGATTACCAAAGAACGCATACTTGATTGACGTTATGTGTTTTTATCAGTTTGGGGCATATCTTGAGGTTAGCAAAGGACAATGGTTTGTCAATTATAAAATACTCAAATCTTTTCTGAGATATCTTCTTATCGAATGTGACAGTTTCCTGAAAACACAACCTATCGTTCTGTGCTCCATCCGCGGGAGGTTTCTATGGCCACGAATGTGTACCCGGTGTAATGTATGATCTATGTGACTGAGTGTTCAACAGTCGCTATTTCATGTGTATTGTGATAATTAATAACATACCAATTGTACATATTATATATTTTCTCATGTTTCCTAGCTTAGTGTCTCGTTGAGATTCTGGTAGTATCCGGATCCAGGTTTCTACACCTGTGTCACCATGGAAGTGCTAACTGATTACCATGTTCATGACAAAGTGCTACAGTATGAGAGCCATCATACACATTGTGATATCCTGTATATTGAATTAGGTCAGATTATTTTTGAATTTTAAAAACCAATGATCCAAACTAATTTGAAAGGATAATTCAAATAGAAGATTTTACCATTTCTTCCTACCACCGCAACCGCTTGGCCTTAGTCTCTACTGGTGGCGTAGGCAATGGTATCGTCAGTTCTGGGCTTAGAATTAAAGGTTGAATAAGCAAATCCTACGCTATGTGGCGACTAATAACAAGAATAGACATGGTGTTGTTGAAGGACGATCAAACCAACTGGGCCAGTTCTTTCCATCTGGATTTCATTTTGTCAAGGCATATTAGTGTCTTCACAAAACCCAAATTATTTATAGCTTAACGCCATTCATCACATAAGCAGTTTTAGTGCTAAATCTGTTTTGTTTTGTTTTTTTAAACTTTTTTTTTCTTTTGCAATACTTTTATTAGCAACCAACGTTAGGATTACAAACTGTATACTGTTTTTTATGTTTTATAAGAAGATCGTATTTAAAGAACGTGGCCATGGGAAGTTATGGTCAGAGTCGTATGTCCTCGTGAATCTTCGTAATGGACGATCTGATGTGTGGACGCTTGAGGTGTTCGTAACATTAGTAGTTAACTGTAGCGTACTTCAAGTATGCTTCTCAGGGCAAGATGATATTCACTCTTGTTGTAACAGGTGGATAGAATTGAAGTACATCTCAGAGTTTTGGCCAGATTTGTTATTGGCCAGATTTTTACCAAAATACCAGCCGACAGCTGTGTACAAAACAGCATGTTATTTCAAGATTGACAAAAAATGGTTTAGCTGAACTGTTTGTTTTTATCATTTGTATAATGTTGAAGTTCCGCCTATTTTCACAACCGATGTTTTCAAGAATGTTCACTGTCGTTGCATGACAACCAATGCATTTCTATATGTATCGCCTATTGGTCGTTCCTTGTTGTTAATGTTACATGTGCCCCTACGTCACATCAGTGTACAGACCATCGCTCATAATTATTAATAACACTGGTCCATCGAATGTAGATATCAGAATATATTTATAACTATGTTGCTTCATAAATGTACGATTTGGAAGAGTATGTGTTACAAGATATGTTGAATAAATATGTGCCTTATTCGAATGACTGTGTTTGTGCTGTCCTTTCCTGAAGTCAGACTGCTGAGGGCTACTGTACGGCCGCTTTTGTTAAAGAGACGCCTCAGAGAACTTCCTGCTATGTAAATGTATGCGAACTGTAGAAGAAATCCAGTCTGGTACAGGCAAACCAGACAACGGCTATGTCGTCGGGAAACATGACACACACACATACAGATGACATTGTTATCATCCAATCCACAGTCGCATTTTACAACAAACGTAGCTAGCTGGGGTACTGAGGGCCTGTATTCAGTAGTCGCGTCTTACAACAAGCATAGGGTACTAGGGGCCTGTTCTGCTCGGGAATCCCAACGAGGAACGATCTGCGCCACCAGCTGGAAACGTCATTTTGGGGAGCAGGGATGGGTTTAATTATACTTGTGGAGATGGAGAAGTGAGCTGCTACGGGTGTATAAGACACAAATAGTCATCCGTACCTATCAGCATCTTAGATAACAATATGAAACTTAAGTATTGACTTAAAATATCAACTTATTCAGCATCTTAAGCAACATACCAGAAGGACACAAAGCAAAACCAAATGTTGTCTTTACAAAACGATGCAGTGTTTAAGTTTCAACTAGTCTGGGACAACTCATCAAATCTAATAGTTTCAAGAGGAATATCAACTGTTGTCATATACAACAAGAAGAACCATCGGCCTACTCTTTTGTCCTCGAAATACGAAAAACTTAAAGTTCGGCGCAGCACTGAGTGGATCATAAGACACGTGAAAATCCGGGGTAGAATAGGTCTTCAGCAACCCATGCTTGTCGTAAGAGGCGACTAACGGTATCGGGTGGTCATGCTCGCTTTCTTGGTTGATGCATGTCATTGTATCACAATTTAATTGATCGATGTTCATAATATCCATCACTGGATTGTCTGGTCCAGATTCGATTATTTACAGACCGCCGTCATATAGCTGGAATATTGCTGAGTGCGGAGTTAAACAACAAACAAACAAAACAAAGTAGATCCTGTAATCACAAAAGTAATACGCGGGGGAAGACTTAGAACCCTGGAACAGACGAGCAAGGGCTTTGTCATCTTGGCTATGCCGTCGCTTCAGGCTTGAGGAGAACCCTAACACTTGATTACACTTCTATATCACTATTATATTTCACAAAGTAGCATTATGAATGCGCAGATCTAGCGAGAAAAGAGTTGGTCCCGTTGTTTCCATGACGATGCATCAGCTTGAATAAGCCTGTGTATTCACTGTATTTAATTTACATGACTTATACATGACGCGAATAATACGGACCACAAACTACAGTAACACATCTCTGCAACAAACCGGCGACCTGTAGTTTTCTACCAACAACTCGACCTGGACAAGTCAGTGTGTGTTTAAGGCCCATAGTGCACATGTCGCTGCAACCTATACAAAATCTGACTTAACGTGAAAGCATCATACACAGCCTGTTACATGTGATCACCAGCTTTCGCCATTTTACTTGGCACTTACCACAATTGCAGGCTACTGTTTACTTATTCTACCGTGGAATCCCCCATAGACAGAATTAAAACTTAATTAGGGTAGCATGATTAGATCTACGATAAAACCTTGCCACAAAACAGTATTATTGACCGACATAAGTATCACTCTCTTCGACGCCATTTGACCATGTGACCGCGATAATGTATTCGCCCACATTGGCTTGTGCCATGCTGTATGTCATGTACTCTTACATGCAGTTCATTAATTCCCTGGTATGGACGTGTTCATGTCTTGTATTTATAATATTACAGGATACTATTACCTTCATCTATTTTATTATACACAGTAAAGGTTAGAACGACAATGCTACACTCCTAAAACTATCACAGCGAATCAGTCGCACTGATAAATATTTCTCAGACTTGCCATGACGCAAGACTGACGTTTTTACACTGCCTGTCTCACAAACAGAACTCGATGACCTTCCCGTAAAAAATATGTTTTTAGCAATTCATAACTGTCGGCTGGCATTTCCACGTATACACGAGATACAAATGTATTCAACAGGTGTTGGATAATATTTATGGAAAAAAATTAGGATAAAATTACTTTGATAACTTCGGTCATGGTGAACGTTATACTTGTCGAGCAGACATGCTTCGAGTTGATCAGGTCCACGTGATATCACAGACACGCTCTCTGACTCCATGTTCCAAGGGAGGTAACTCCACGTAATGTCTCAGCCGCTTCACTCCAGGCTGAGCGTTCTGGCGTCTGATTATCTCTCATATCCTTGAACGAAGGAAGACGATATGAATATACTTTTTCGGTAAAGTCATGCTCCTTATTGTGTTTATATGGGTTTAGTCAGGTTTAACGACGCGTTCCAAGTTTATCAGTTCACTCACGCACTGTCAGTTTGATAATGGGGCAAGGTGAAAGTTTGTTTGTTTGTTTGTTGTTTGATGCCGCACTCTGCAATATTCCAGCTACATGACGGCGGTCTGTAAATAATCGAGTCTTACCAGACAGTCCGGTGATTGACATCACGAGCATCGATCCACGCAACTGGGATACGATGGCATGCATCAACCAATTCATCGAGCCTGACCACCCGATCCCGTTAGTCGCCTTTAACGACAAGCATGGGTTGCTGAACACCTACTCTAACCCGGATCTTCACGGAGAGACAAGCATGGGTTGCTGAACACCTACTCTAACCCGGATCTTCACGGAGAGACAAGCATGGGTTGCTGAACACCTACTCTAACCCGGATCTTCACGGAGAGACAAGCATGGGTTGCTGAACACCTACTCTAACCCGGATCTTCACGGAGAGACAAGCATGGGTTGCTGAACACCTACTCTAACCCGGATCTTCACGGAGAGACAAGCATGGGTTGCTGAACACCTACTCTAACCCGGATCTTCACGGAGAGACAAGCATGGGTTGCTGAACACCTACTCTAACCCGGATCTTCACGGAGAGACAAGCATGGGTTGCTGAACACCTACTCTAACCCGGATCTTCACGGAGAGACAAGCATGGGTTGCTGAACACCTACTCTAACCCGGATCTTCACGGGTTCACTGGTGAGTGGCTGACAACACAAGCACAATACTCGGAGTCAATCTTTGATCGAATTCAAATGAATGACAACTGGACACGACTCTGGACCAATTAGCCTTGGAATGAAAACCATTCTATTGATTCGTGGTCGGACATATGATATTAATAGTTCATTTTGTAATATACATGTCCCAAACTTGTGTTTCCATACTGTTCCCGGAGCCATAACTCACCAAGTCAGCCTGATATGCTATTTACTGTCTTTGACCCTCCACTTCTTGTCTTCATGATGGCATCCAGCACCATTTGGCACAGATACTGTATCTTTGTTCAGTTTGCAGTAAGTGCAACAACACCACATGGTTCCACTGTCCACACTGGTTTCAGGAAATACATGATAATAATACTTTAAACGGGAATATATGTTCTATGGCTGATGACATATGCTTTCTGAAACGTGTGGTTCATGATTTAATGTAATTCTAAATGAAATAAATAATATCATATGCTGAAAGTGTCCACAGTGTTACCATATGACCAGTATGGGCAGTCTTTTCAGATAAAATAATGTGCTACGATTATGTGCTTATTTGCATAATTACATACTTGGGATATGTTAAATTCATATGCGTGTGTGTGTGTGTGGCTGCTTGTACTAGTCCGGACTAATGCCGATCTATAGTGCTAGCCCACTGAGATACCATGCCGCAGTGTAACATGAATACCCCACTCAGACACAGTATACTGACTCGAAGCCGACCAGACCTTGTTTTAGCCCATTAATGTCGAGCGCCGGGCAGGGCAACAAGTACCATCTTTTAACGTGGACACAATTTTATGGATAACAACTTCTTATCCATAAACTTGTGTCTACCTTGTCATCCGTCAACTTCTAAGTAATGCCAATCAAACAAATCATCTTTTAACGTCTTTTAGTATGATGCGGGCGGGAATGGGCGCTCTACCACTGAACCACGGAGGCAGTCGCTCAGACATTCTCTCGCATGTGGGTGTAGCGGTATTCGAATTGAACTCAAAACGAAGCAATGGCAGCACAGACCGAATACGAATTCTTATCTCGTTCATCTAGCCCGGTATACACCCTTGCTATGACATATACTGAGCTGGATAAACGAGAATTATGCTTCGTATTTGGTCAGTGCTGCATTGATCTCGTCTGAACTTTGTTTGGTTGCCTTATGTCACAAACATCTACACAATGAAAAGCTCTTTTGCTTAAAACAGATAGGGTATTATCATAGAACATACGCTGTGAATGATGTTGCTATGGCGAGAGCTGTCGTGAATATATCCATTGATTGGTTTCAGAATCTCTTTGCATGACATTAAGAGTACATGACATATTAATGAACATAGTTATTCGAGCATTATTACTATTCCTGGCTGAGCATAACGAAGCGACGACTCTCAGTGGGTTGCCACGATCGAATATCCACATACTCAGCAGTATGACTATATAGCTGTCATGTCATCAAATAGGTCAATGAGCGTGGAATAGGGCTGCTGATATGTACGTATACAATTACATTATTATCAACCATAGTCTCTGTATACGTAAATACGCCAGAATAAAATGAATCTAGTCTTTCACATAGTGATGCTTAAGGGTTGGATAAAATGAATATAGCTCCAGCGTTTTCAGTTGAGAGCTTTGGAGCTTACAATCCAAACACTTACATTTCCTTGAAATGACAGTAGGTTGTTTTACGCACCATTAGTTAGATTTATTGCTTGTTCTTTGGCGTTGCGAGATCACTGGTGGCTGAGTCATCGAAGGCGCCGCCATTTGCTGGCAAGAGTTGCGTCCCTCAGGTGTGTCAGGAACTTATGATTCGCCGGTTCAGCATGATTATGTTCGTCAGCGCCATACCCGTGCTCGTGGATTTTGCCAAAGTGATAAACACCCGTATCACCTGCATCACTTCGCGCTTTC